TTCTTTCTTTTTTCCTTTTCTCCTACCAGATTTTTGCTGTCTTTATCTTTTGAAGAGGGCGATGTTCTGTCGGAGTTCCGCAGGTGCTCTGGTTGGCTGAGTGGGTCTGTAGATGTGGGTCTTGGTGTATATGTGGGAGAGGGTGAGCTGCGAGCATCCTTCTACTCCTCCATCTTCCGGAAGTCTATAGTTTCTCTTTTTGATAAGTTACCTATACTATCATGTTCTCTCTTTGGATGGAACGTGACGGTGGGAGTATGACTGGACAAAACGTTTCTGTAAACTATTTTGGCAATATTGCTAAAGCTCACATTTAGCTGGTACTGATTCTGTGTCAGCCTCTGGACAAAGTGCCTTCTGTGTATTGCCTAGTAGAATATTTGCTTCAGTGCCTTCCGTTAATTAGCATCTGTGTGGCTTGCTTTCTTGGACTACTTTTATCAGCCCCTACCAATGTTTTCTTGTCCTCTGTAGCTTTCACTGTCACCAGTGTCCTCACTAAGCTCCTGCCCTGGTTACTCTAACATGGGACATTCAACAGTGTCTGGAGAGATCTTTGATTGTCACACCCCTGGATGCTATGTGTGGAGAGATGCTACTGGCATCTCTGGTCGAGGCCAGGGATGCTGCCGAATGTTTTTACAGTGCACATACAGGCCTCCTGCGTCAAAGAATTTCCTGGCCCAAAATGTCAATAGTGCTGAGGTTGAGTTGAGCCCTGCTAGTTGAAGGGAACCCAAACAGTGCTGGGAGTTCAGCAACTACTTACTCTTTTGTACAATTTCATTATGTGTTTCCAATTTTAGTGTAGTACTAAGAACATTCAATAGGAATTAAATACAGTTATTAATTCACTTTATGAATGTGTATGATTTCCTTCTCAGGACCTGTTACTATGACAAGTGTACACCCGCCAATACGTTCACCGAGTGCCTCCAGCGTTGGGAGCCGAGGAAGGTAAACTGACTTAATTTATTCTCTAGTGCATGAAATCGGTGACGAGATTTCTCTTGTCAGTGCTCAATGTGCTTTGGTACTCAAAACATTTTGAACAACATCCTTTATTTCCAACTTTTCAATTAAATTTTTAATATTTATTATATGTTAATTTAATTAATGGGTTAAGTAAAGTACAATTTTATCTTTAAAGATACAAAAATGTATGTAGAAAATAAAATATCTCTGACTTTAGCATAATAGCAGGGAAAACAGAAATGAAATATGTGTAACTCAGCGTACTGTGTAGGGAAATGCACAAGTAAGAACTTAAGGAAAACAAATAATTTGGGGGGAGCTTCTTGGAACAAATAATAATTTTATACTAACTTTGTTCTCTGACTTTTCTAATGGCCAAACATTGATTCTGCTTTAAAATAAATTAATCTACAGTTGTGGAAATTTTATTGTAACTTACTGATTTATGCATCCACTCATGTCTGCCAGTTTCCCCTAAATAGTGAACCCAATTCTTACTTTCCTAATCATTTGGAAAAAGCTTTCTCTGAAAGGAAGAAACTTGCCTTTAATAACTATGAAAACATAGTAGCTGTCTGTAAAAAGGCTTTTGTCCCACTACTTTTTTTAAACAGCAGAACACCAACAATTACATCCCTAGTTAATTATGTTCACAATTTGTGACAGTAAGTCTTCAATGTGGACCTAGAGTTTTCTTTGTCACTGACTAGAGAAGGAAATGGGAAAACCTAAGAAAAAGTGCTAATTCTGAGATAGTTCTGAGATCTGGCTGCCTAATTTTACAGCCTCAGGATATTGAAGTCAGTTTTCTTTTAATTCAGGTTTTATTTAAATTTATTTAAATGTCTTTCCAGGTATATAATGTTAACTATTTAGATAGGTGAATATTTAGTACATTTTTTTAATACATTATTGAAACTGTTTTGCCTGCAGCAGATGCATTTCAGTTAAGGATCATTTATTGCTGATGTAACATAGTTACCATTGCTGTGAAGATAAAGCATTATCCCAAAAGCTATTGTTATACTTTGAGATACTTAAAGTAGCTTTCTTAGATTTCTTTCTTTCTTTCTTTCTTCTTTATACTTACAGCTCTGGCTCTTCCAGCAAACCAGCAGGAGCTGATTCTACACACAAAGTCCCAGTGGTCATGTTGGAGCCAATCCGAATAAAACAGGAAAACAGTGGACCACCTGAAAATTATGATTTTCCTGTTGTTATAGTGAAACAAGAATCAGATGAAGAATCAAGGCCTCAAAATGTAATTTGTTATGATTGCAGTACTATTCCTACTTAAGGGATAGGATGAGAGAAACTTTAAAATAGCTCGTAGAAGATAAATGTAAAGGCAGGGCGTTGTCAACCTAAAGGTTGAAAAATTTGAAGAAATCTCTCAGTAAATTAAAACAAAATGATTGATTGAATGGAAAACAAGAAGAGTTTAAAAAGTCAGAGGCTTAAACAAGGAGGTTGGGCATTTGAAAGAGTGAACGGAGTAAAACACATGGAAGGTAATTGCCAGAGCAGTGATACAAGGAAACTTCCTGTTAACTGAAGGGCATGGGCATCTGAATGGAAAGGGCCTACCAAGTATCATAACAATAAAATGAAAAGGAGACTCAGGTCATATCATCATCAGTTTCAGAATACCAGAATTCTAAACAGGTTCTAAAAGCTTCCAGAGGGAAAAAAACACCTTATACAATGGATCAGACATCATAATGTCACCAGCTCCTCAACACAGACATGCAAAGCTGAAAGACAATAGAGAAATATCAAAATTGTGAGGAAGGATATTTTGTAGCCAGAATTCTGTACCCAGGCAGATTATCAATTATGCATAAAGATTAAATAAACATTTTTAGACATGTATGCAGAGTCTTAAATTTTTAATTCCCATGCACTTATTCTCAGGGAGATATTTGAGAATATGCTTCATCAAAACTGAAGTAAACCCAGAAAGAGGATGACATAAGATCCCAGAAATGAGATCTAACACAGAAGAGAGGCAAAGAAAAGGGCAGTTAGCCCCCAGTGCCCCAGCTCCTCCGGTACACCCTGTAGCAGGACAGAAGAGTCCATTAGGGGAGTATGTAATGGTGAGAAAAATGTTCTGACAGTATCGAGAAGCCTTTTATAACCCTGTTGGATATTGTGAGAATGATTTGGAGATAGATAAGCTAGAAAAAGAAGCAAATGGATTAAATTTAAAAATAAGGTAATTGAGGAAGGGAGGGTATAGCTCAGTGGTAGAGCATGTGCTTGGCATGCACAAGGTCCTGGGTTCAGTCCCCAGTTCCTCCACTAAAAATCCATCTATCAATTTAATTACCTCCCCCCAAAACAAACAAAAAAAGTAATAAAAATAAGGTAATTATTTACTCATAGTAAAAACAAAAAGATAAAAAAGGAATGTACTCATAGTACATTCTGTGCTTATGCAATGCACAGTATTTATATAGTCATAATGATGCAAACACCTTAATACAAAGATAACTAAAAACTAGGCGTAATCAGGATATTACCTGAACACGCATTTGACCAAAAATTGATTTTTCAGGATACTTACTTAACCAGTACAGCAGTGATACTGACCAATTGGAATAGATGCTGGCTATAAACAGTTATTACTGGTGCCAACCAACTAAAAAGAAATCAATGCTTAATAAAACTATGCTAAGAGGATGGTATAAATGGTGTGTGTAAGTATAAGAAGGGTGTGGAGAGTCAGGAAGGAAAAATTTAATCTTTCGCTGTAGGGAAAATACATATATTTAAAAGTGAAAATATGTTTAAAATAGAAAATTTGGGGAAATAGAGTCGAAGCATATTTAGAAATACAGAAGTAAATAGCAGAAGAAAAAGCTAAATAATTGCCTTCAAAGAATGATATTATATACCCATGCTTTTAACTACTTCAACATTTTTTTAAATGTTTAAAGGAGATAATAGATTGTTTTTAATTTGAAACTTTCACCTCACCATCCTAGGCTTCACCATAGAATTTAGATTCATCTTAAAATTATTAATGGCACCTGGAGAGGTGAAATTACTTCTAAGAATTAAAATAATATACCTTTTTTTTGAATGATAAAAATGTACAGTAGGCATGTTTTGTGTTTAGGTACACTTTGAATTCACAGCTCTAGTAAAATGTATATACATTTCCTGACGTTGACTTCTGCACTATCCACCTGTTCTCTCATTTCTGTAGCCATCAGTAGATTCAAAGATTTTTCCTGTATTATCCACACCTCCTTACTGCTGCTGATCTTCTGTTTTCAAGATATTTTTCAGTAGATATCTATGTCTTCTTTACCATTAGGACCTTTAATACAGTTAGCAGTAAACATTCTTGTCTTGGGTCTCATGCATATTCACAGACTCCTTTGAAATAAGCAGGTTCTCATGAGTGAGCAGTCTGCTGTCCAGAATTGTGCTAATAAAGAATGCCAGTTCAAAAGATAC